TTCACGAGGTCATGGGCAAAACCCATTCAAAGTTCTAGGGGTTATTTGTGAAATTAACCCGTTATTATTTGTATTGTTGTTGTTATTGTTAGCAACACAGAGGAAATCAAATCGCAGATTGATGATAGAAAAATAAAAAACTAGAGAAAGAATCACAGAGGACGTAGACTTAACAAGGTTCGACGAGTATAACCACTCCAAGAATCCATTATTAATCAAGACAGGATTACCTGAAGTTTCTCAAACTCTAATCTTACCCCCCTCACCTCTCCCTTCTGGATAATGATCCTAATAAGGTGGCTAAAGATACGTATTTAGTTATTTACTCAACTCACAAACTGTAAGTTCAAGTTTTGTTGCGGGTGTGTTAGTAATTTGTAGGCCTCCAACTTTACTCACGGTTACATGTATCTACTATAAAACCAGGCTCCACCACACAATATTTATAACTGTTATTACTATTAGTTGCTGGTTGTGTAGTGCATTAAAATTTAACCACGTTGGGCTCTGAAGCCTCTTTTTGGAGTCTGAGGAAACACGAAGTCGCCGAGAGAGAAGGTCACACAAACACAAAATTAACAGCACGAACACAAACAACAAATTTTACGTGGTTTTTCGGCAAGTTGCCTACGTCCACGGGGCAAGAAGGGAATGAGTTTTCACTAATAGAGAAGAGAGTACAAATAGAGATTACAAAATCACTCAAAATCTCTCAAACAAAGCTCTCAAATCTCTCACAAACCCCAAACAAATTGCTCAGAAAACTCTCTTTTCTGTGCACCAAATAACCCCTTTTCAACCTTACTCCAAACCTAAAAAACGTGTTTCAATATATATCAAAACACAAACCAAATCAGAACAGGACACAAAGCCCAAGCCCAAACCCGACAGGCGATCGACCGTCGAAGTCTTCTAGGTCGACCAGACAGAACACAGAAATATCACTTTGAGTTTACAGGGTCTGCAGTCAACCGCCGAAGTCTTCACGATCGACTGGAAAGAAATCCAGAACCTACCCTGTACTCGTGCATGTTTCCGGTCGACTGCACATGTTGTCGCGGTCGACCGGTCAGAGGTCAAAACTGACCATGCGCCATCGTTCCCAATTCTATAATTCTCCACCTTGATGAAGTTTTTCCAAAACTAAGTCGACACCAATACCATCCAAACATCCCACTTGTTGCGTCCAATACGAAGTGGAATTAATCCACGATAATGGACTCAATCCACAACAAGTCGGGAACCAAACGAGAATGCGAACAATCTCCACCATATCCGTATCAACTCATCAAACTGGCTGCATCAAAAATAACTGCCTACATATCCTCTTGCTCAAGGAATCAAGCCTCACGTAGTTCACCCAAACGACCTTCAAAGGCCCTCAATCAACTAGAAAGATTTTCAACCATTCACCAACTTCACGATCATCACCAACAAATCTGCAGTTGATAACACTCCTAATGGCCTCAAAGTAAAAAAGATAAACTCTCTTCCAAACTTTCATCTCTCCACACCAAATCTGTCTTGGATATTAACCCCTCAACCCTATATGTAGAAGAAACATAATTACCAAACACCTCCACCTGAGGTGAACCAACGACCATAGCCAAATCTGAACTGTGTCCTCCTGCTACACTCGAATCCTGATCTTCAAACTCATCATCTGTATCCACACCAACATAATCCCCAATCTGTGTTATCTCATCTGGAATCCCAAACGATATAGAATAATCTGGAGAACGTGGAGTAATCTCCACCCAACTTGAAGTAGCATCACTCTCCATCTGCTACGATACATCTCTGATCTGACCAATACTCTCCACCTGCTGAGAGTCAAATATGACATTACTGCTTAGAACAATCTTTTTGAAAATATAGTTCCATAACATGTAGCCAAACACACTTCTGAATTTTAAATATGCACTCGGATCAATTTTTACATCCTCAATGTGACAATATGCTGAGAACCCAAATATCTGAAGCAAACAAAAATCTGAAGCAGTTCTAACAGACCCAAATACTTCAATCGTAGCAGACGGCAACCTATGAATAAGATGGCTCGAATATGTCAAAGCCTTAGTACTAAAACTCTTCTTCAAACTACTGCTTGACACCAAACACTGATCCTTCTCCAGCAAGGAACAACTCATCAAATTTGTCACCTCATCTTGTTGCCCTAATATTTCCTTTCCAATGAAGCGTCTCAAACTACCTTGAGCTCGGCACAAATGCAGAAATGTTTCCCTCTTGTACTTCCCACCAAAATCAAAATGGAGTACTCTGTCTTTTCTGTCTGTTTTAGTCTCTATACACTTCTTCCACCAGTTGTTAAATACTAGTACTTCACTCAAACGGGACTTGGTTGCAACCCAAACATGCCTAGAATAGTCATCAACAAAGGAAACCAAATACATATTACCTCCCAATGATGCCTCTTTGGAAGGCCCCCAAACACCCATGTGAACATCATCTAGAAGGCCCTTAGCTCGATGAATAGAAATGCTAAACTTCACATCGGACTTCTTGCTCACATCACTATGCTCACGGGACTTCAAATTGCAGGTCAAAGCATCTCTCACCAATCCTTGCATATCCGAAGCTTGCAAGGAACCAACACTAGAATGTCTCAGCTTCAAACACCACAGTCTAGCCGAATAAATAGAAGTCGCCAGCGCTTCACATGTCACCGTACTTTCAGTAAAGTAGTACAAGTTATTCTTCATGACGCCATTCATCATAATCATGGACCCCTTTTGTGACCTTCAGAATTATATTCTCTAAGATCACCATATAGCATGCTGCCTCCAAAGTTCTAAGTGAAATGATGTTCTTCGTCAACTGCAAAATAAATCTCACTTCCTTCAGCTCCCTAGTCACCTCGTCACACATTCTGATCCGAACTGTTCTAATACCACATATAGGACATACATGATCATTACTCATGCACACGATATCCCCTCTTTCCAACTCCTCAAAGCTGGAGAACCAATCCCTTCTAGGACAAATATGGTATGTAGCACCCGAATCTAACATCCACTCCGTAGAGTCGGCATAACAAACTGACGGTAGTGTTGGGCATGAGTAGTCCGAAGAATCCGAATCTGAATTATCACCACTAGCTTTAGCAACATTCACCTCTGAAGCTTGTACGACTTTTTCCTTATTCTTCCGAGCTCTATCCTTCAACTTTGGGCATTCAGACTTCTAATATCCATCTTCTTTGCAAAAAGCACATTGATTTTTACTAACCGAAGGATGTGCTCCTCTAGACTGTGACCTCCTATTTCGGTTTAGACTTTTCTCTCTTGCGGTCAATGCCTCTACTATTGTATCATTTGAAGACTTCTTGTCCTTCTTCTTTAGCTGATAATTCACAAGACCAGCGATAACCTCATTATACGAAAGAGATGTCTTCCCATTAATTAGGGTAAGAACGAATGTCTCATATTCCTTATCAGGCAAGGAACTCAACAACAATAATGTTTTGTCCTCATCATCGATCATGACATCCACATTCGCCAAATTCATAAGAAGCTTCATGTAGTTGTTCATGTGATCACTAATTAAGAATTTTTTTCTTCAACTGGAAACGATAAAGTCTCATCTTCAAATGCAAGCGGTTCTCAACACTCTTCATCAAATACCTGCCTTTAAGAATCTCCCAAATTTTATTTGCAGAAGTCTCATTGATCATATTAAATTTTAGATCATGTGTTAAACAAGACATAATCACGCCACACACCGTCTGATTCATCTTCTTCCAAACCTTTTCTTCAATGTCGTCCGGCTTGCCGTCCAACTCTAAAGTGTCTTTTAAATTTTGCACGTTCAGCGCATCCAAAACTTCACATCTTCATAAGCCAAAGTTTTTTCATGTCATTAAACTTCTCCACATCTATTTTTATAGAGTGGATATTTAAAATTTAAACGATCTTCACGTCAGAAGTACCACTCTCAACACCTTCTTTCTCTGTCATCTTCCTTAAACACCTACAAACCAATGGGAAACAAACTAAAAAATAGATCCAAACTACAAGAAATATAGATTTTTATCTCCAATTGAAACCCTAACAAGAGCCTCCAAAAGATCTCAGCCTCACACGAAGTAAGACAAGATCCATAATAGTAAAAATCTCATATTTGTCTCTAATTGAAATCCTAGACGAGCTTCCAAAACGATCTACTTCTACACCTAACCCAAGCGTAGCCTGGGGCTCTTATACCACTTGTTGGGCTCTGAAGCCTCTTTTTGGGGTCCGAGAAAACACGAAGTCGCCGAGAGAGAAGTCACACAAACCCAAATTAACAGCACGAACACAAACAACGAATTTTACGTAGTTTAGAAAGTTGCCTACGTCCGCGGGGAAAGAAAGAGATGAGTTTTTACTAATAGAGAAGAGAGTACAAATAGAGATTTCAAAATTACTCAAAATCTCTCAAACAAAGCTCTCAAATCTCTCACACAAACCCTAAACAAATTGCTCAAAAAACTCTCTTTTCTATGCACCAAATAACCCCTTTTCAACCTTACTCCAACCCTAAAAAACGTGTTTCAATATACATAACACAAACCAAATCAGAACAGGAAACGAAGCCCATGCCCAAACCCGACAGACGGTCGACCGCCGAAGTCTTCACGGTCGACCGGACAGAACACAGAAAATTCACTTTGAGTTTACAGGATCTGCAGTCGACCGTCAAAGTCTTCGCGGTCGACTGGACAGAAATCCAGAACCTACTTTGTACTCGTGCACGTTTCTGGTTGACCGCACATGTTATCGCGGTCGACCGGTCAGAGGTCAAAACTAACCATGCTTCAATTATTCTGAACTTCGTCGTCGTCGTTCCCAATTCTACAAAGCTGCCCACCAACTTTCGAGCAATCGATTGTGTGATCACTCCAATCGAAGCTGAACGATCACAGTTTCAATTTTAGCAAAACACGACTAACTTTCCAAAAGTTGATTCCACGTCAATTTCATGATTAAACGAGTTTTAATGATTGATAAAATATTGTGAATGAATACAGATTAGGGAGCCGCGATTGATACTGGCTCATATATGTTCATAAGTACATTGAACAAAACAACCCAAAAATACAAACATAGTGATTCACCACTCATGAGTAATTAATTAGCGCGCTTGGGCTTGATGGGTCGGGCCTCGAGCCCGCCGGACTCCCTCTTCTCGACGGTGAAGGGCATGTGGGTCCCAAGGATCTTGTCCCACGTGATGAAGAAGGGCTGGGAGAAGTTGTACTTGCTCCCGTACAGCTGGTGGTGCACGTCGTGGTACGCCGTGTTGTTCCAGAAGAAGACGTTGAAGGGGTTGAGGGGCATCCAGAGCCCGCAGTGGTCGTTTATCCCCTTCACCGTCGAGAACGAGAAGAAGAATATCGACGTCCTCGGGGTCATGCCCGACACCAGGAAGGCGAGGGCCCCGCCGAGGGTGTCCATGAGGAACCCCTCGACCGGGTGGTTGTACTGGCTGCCGAAGGAGTAGGGGACCACCAGGCGGTGGTGCCACGAGTGGACGTGCTTGTACAGGAACCTGTTGAGGTGCATGTACCGGTGCCAGAAGTACATCCACGAGTCGACCACGAACATCCCCACGAAGAATTGGCCCGCGACCGCGACCCACGAGGCGGTCTGTACATGGGCACCGTCGCCGGCCTCCTTTTGGTCTCCCCCGCCGGTGAGCTTAAATAGGACGATGCCCACCGCGGCCTGAAGAAGTTGTTGGGAGAGAACGGTGACGGCGACGCTGCGCTTGGAGACGAGGTTCTTGAGGTCCTCGTCTTTCCGCGGGTGGAGACGATACCTGTCGAGGGATCCGAGCATCATGTGGAAGCCGGAGTAGACCCAGTAGACCGCAATGGGCACTATAATGGCCAGCACTTCATCAGAGGGAAGAGAGCAGCTGCTGTTCTCCATTAAGAACTAGGTAGGCCTATGATCATCAGCTTTTTAACTCGCTAATTATTCTGAGTAGATCGAGGCAGAAGGTACCGAGAATAGAAACTTTTCTTGTTGATGGTTTGAAAGAGCTGGAGGTGAGTGGTTTATATAGAGAGGGATCAGGAGACCCTGACAAGGATCACATAGCTTGAACTTCTCCCAATTGTATTAGAAAATAATGATAACTCAGTCAGTCGACAGATTAATTAATTGGACTGAACAAAAAAGAAAGTATATAAAGAAAGGAACTTCTGGTAATTAGCAATGACTATTTTCTCAAAGTTTATTCATCATTGAGTAAACACTAGAATGACTAAATACTAGAATGATTATTTTCTCAAAGTCAAGAGACCCTGACGAGGATTGCGAAAAATTTTCCTTGATCACATAGCTTGAACTGCCCAATTGTATTTGAAAATAATGATAACTCGGTCAGTCAACAGATTAGCGGGACTGAAAAAAAAAGAAAGTATATAAAGATAAGGAACTTCTGGTAATTAGCAATGACTACTTTCTCAAAGTTTATTCATCATTGAGTAAACTATAGAATGACTATTTCCTCAAAGTTTATTCATCATTGAGTAAACTTTTACTTTTTGTCTTGAGCAAAAATGGCATTAATGCCATTCAATAGATATGGCGTTAATTTGGAATCAATCGCAACTTTTTTGATATTATACCTGACGATTGTGATTTATACATTTGAATCAAAGTCTATACAGTTTGGAATAAAAGTCTTCACAATTTGGATTCACGATTGTGATTTATACATTTGAATCAAAGTCTATACAGTTTGGAATAAAAGTCTTCACAATTTGGATTCAACAAAGCGGCATGGAATCAAAGTATAAAGTCTATACAGTTTGGAATAAAAGTCTTCACAATTTGGATTCAACAAAGCGGCATGGAATCAAAGTATATACAACTTAAATTCATAAATTTTAAATTAATATAAATTGATGAGTCGTCAGATGTTTGGATCTATGCGACTTTCTTTATATATATTGAAATTTGCTTTAAACGCACTAGATTAATATTGGAAGAGAAGTGACAACTAAATAGGCTGCTACTACGAACCTTAGCTCTGTCTATTTCAGAAAATATATCATCGATAGGTTAATTTCTTTTCCCAAATAATCAGATATAAGAATCGGACAATTATTTGCTGGTCGTATTCCTATTGGGTTTGAATTATGAAATAGTCGTTTGTCAAATGCTTTTTTTTTAACATAATATATGTACGCATGACTAGTTCTACCAGTTCATAGCACAGCACTGAGGTTCGATGTCACCGTTTTTAATTTAAAAAAACTGTTTATTCTTATTTCTTACAACCATCCTCACAAAAATAGTACACATCACTAGAGTGTTGAAAACGGCGAAGAAAAATAAGACGTTCACAGAAGGAAGCTCATCGGTCGACTGATCGGGTCTGATCAGTCGACCGATTCGACCGCAAGAAGTTCTACAGGAGTTTCGAGTCGGTCGACTGATCGAACACAATCAGTCGACCCAAAACATGCACACTACAGGGTCTAGAAACCACGTTCTGGTCCATCGACCGATGCATCCTTATCGGTCGACTGATGGAGGCAAACTGGTCGACCGATAGAGATGCATCGGTCGACCGATAATCGGTAATTAGGTTGGTTCAACAGTTTTGCTTTCCTAGCCTGTTTTCGATTGGATTGTTGATATAAATTGAAACACGTTTTATTAGGGTTTTAGATCGGAGAATTTGGATTTGTTTGAGCACTTTAAGAGAGAGATTATTGTGAGGGGGTGAGAGATCATTGGTTAGGGTTATTTTGAGAGTTTGTGTAAGTTGTAACCCGTTGTTTTCTCCTCCATATAGGGAAATCTCCTCATCCTATCGCCGTGGACGTAGGCAATTTGTCTAACCACTTTAATATCTGTGTTTGTATGTGATTTTGGTCGTTCTTTTGTGAATTACACTCGTTAGTTGTTCTCCTCTCATTGCTCAACGACTCGTTTGGTTTGTACGCATGCTTCCGCCATCGTGTAACAATTGGTATCAGAGCTCTATGGTTTCAGACCTAGGGTTTGCGTTTGGGTGGAGGAAATTCGGTGTTAGAAGCTTGGATCTTGGAGTTCTAGGCTTCGGTTGAGATAGTGTTGCGGAGTTACCGTTGGAGATCTCGCTTTTCTCGTGTGGTTGAGAGTTCGTTTGGAATCCAATCTAGAGTTCAAGTCGGGTAATTTCACAAAACTATCAAGTTCGAATCTTTCTTCTACAATTCAGAGTTAGTAAGCAATGGCAGGAGATAGTGGTAAAAATAGCAAGGCTATGACGAGTACAGTTCAGTTTGCACTTCAGAATATGAAGATTAGTGTTGTGAAGTATAACAGCAAGATCAACTTTGGGTTGTGGATGAGTGATGTGCAAGATGCATTGAATGCTTAAAATTTAGAAGAGACTATCATGACTCATGAGAGGTCACCGAAGTATGATGAGACGATAATGGACAAGATAAATCAGAATGCTTGTGGGGTGATTAGATCTTGTTTGGAACAAGAGTTGAAGTACGATGTTATCGGCGTGATGTCTGCAATATGAAGATGTGAGAGATTCTCAACAGCAAGTATCTTACGAAGAGTGTTGAGAACTAGTTGCACTTACTACAAAATTGTTCAGATTTCAGATATCCAGGAGTACCTCACTTGCAAATCATGTGAACAACTACGCAAAGTTATTGTCGGACTTGGCGAATGTGGGTGAGAAGATATCGGATGAGTATAATGCGATTATTTTGTTAGGCTCCTTACCCGATGAGGAGTATGATACATTTGTGCTCACTTTATTGAACGGTAGATCTTCCATCACCTATAGTGAAGTGACTAACGTGTTGACGAATTTTGACTTGAGGAGAAAGGATAAAGAGTCTTCCAGAGCTAGCAATTCAAGAGAGGCCTTGTCGACGAGATGAAGGAGTCCGTATCCAAGAGATGGTAATCGAGGTAGGTCATAGTTTAGAGGCCACTACCAGATTTTGAAGAACTAGTGTATCTTTTACAGAGAACAATGACATTGGAAGATAGATTGCCCAAAGCTCAAAGAGAAAGAGAATAGCAAGAAGAAGGGGCCGAAGGCCAACAAGGTGAATGTCTCAAAAGGTGGTGATGATTCAGATGATTCATACTTTTCTATATTGATTACTGTTTGTGGGAAAATTAAAGAAGAAATGAGAATAAAATTATGTATTTATCTCTCTAACTGACTTAGAAAAAGAATGAATACAATCTCTCTTTGCAATCTCTCTAACTAATTTAGAAAAAGAAATTATAACTCTTCTATAGTTTCCCGATTTACAAAAGAAAGAAGGAATCGACGGAGATCCTTCCCTTTTTTTTAAACCTGGGTTCTTATTTGTGTCGATGGAAGTTTGATTCTTGTATCCAGTTGATGATCTGATCGCTTCGACTCGTGGAACACTGTCTATTTCTCTTGAATTGACATTGAGGAGAACTTGTGAGACAAGTTTAAAACTATTAACGAGTTAATAACTCTTAGCGAGTTTAAAACTCTATAAAAGAGTTAATTTAAAAATGAGATTAATCCTTTTTTTATTTAATCAAAATCGGTTTTCAAGCCAAAACCAAAGCTCCAAAGATCCGATCCAAATGATGCTCAAAGCTCTCCAAGATCTGAAGTCTGCAAGCCCTCTGTTGCCTAAAGATCTCTCAAAAGCTCTAGCCGAAATGCTCCAAGAGATGATAAAATGCCAATCCCCCAAACGTTCTAGCCGAAGATCTCGTCAGTTGAGTTTCTAGCTATTTATAAGGGTTTTAGGGTGTAACTAACCCCTAAAATCGCTCCTTAGTGGGGTTGTGATCCCCTTAGATCATGCAAAATAGTTTTGAAACCATTCAACTCGTGTTTTTTTTTGTTTATTTCTTTTTTTGTCAATGAAATAAACTTTATTCATTTTTTCAAATATGAAATTGTGCAGTACATCAAAATACCAGAATTTTCTGGTAAACAAGTAACCAAAATTACAACCTCTCTAGTGTATCTTTCATATGAATAGGTATATTATCATTCAAAATTCTGACATTCCTCTCCTGCCAGATTGAGTATATTGTAGCCGAGAGAGTCACACTACAAGAAATCAGGTCTTTAATGACCAAAATTAGTGAATGGACCATTTGACCGTCATTAATGTGTGTAAAATAACGACGGTTTTAAAAACCTTCATCGAGTTACCACAAATATTAGAGTAATGATGTGAGATGGGGTAACGGTTTTCTACTCCCTTTACTGATTTGGCTCTAATACCGTTGTTATTGGGTCTTGTGAAAGACGAATGAGTCTATTACCTTCATTAATCACAACTCCTAATCATAATATGAATACTAATCAAAATAATATAGACAACCCGAAACCCAAACCTCCCTCTAACCACAACTAATAAACTAAACCCTAGATTAAAAATTCGCGTTATGTTTGTG